CCAGACACAGGGGGTCCTTATGAGACACAAAAGGTCCTTCCCAGACACAGGGGGCCCTTACCAAACAATGGGGGTCCTTATGAGACACAAGAGATTCTTACCAGACACAGGGGGTCCTTACCAGACACAGGGGAGCTCTGCCGGGCTGCCCAGCGGCTCCTGGTTCGTGGCGGCAGCGTGGATGCTGCCACATGGGTACGTGTTCTAGACCTAGCTGAGAGGTCTATGTCAGGGAAAGAAGAAGACAGAAGAGCCAGCAAGTGGGTTTAAGGTGTCGACTAAGAGTGGCAGAATCCTGACACAGAGGGACCTGGACGCCCGCAGCTGACAGCTGGTGTCCACTCACGCAGGCAAACTGCCTTCAGAAGGGGCGGCTGCCAGGGCCTCTCGCTTCCTGCAGGTGCCAACATCTGCCTGCTGGGTGCCTGAGGAGCCTGGGAGTGCCGCCCCGACTCACGGTGACAAAGATGGGCCCTCATCAGGGTTAGCTGGAGCGGACACTGTCTCCTGAGTCTCCTGCCCTGGGGACCACACGGCCCCTCTCCAGCCCTCAACCTTTGCACCAGTAGGTCTTGGAATGTGGGTGGCACCACTGCGGGGCCGAGACCCTTTGAGGGGCTCAGAAGGTAAAGTCTACATCACAGACACTCAGGTGGTGTTCGCTGAGTTCTCGGTGTTGGCATTACAGGGAGGTGGCAAAAGCTGCTCCAAAGTTGTAAAACTGGGGGCGCCTGCGCGAGAAACAGGCAACGGCTGGGCCTGGCTGGGCAGTGCCTCCCGCAGGAGCTAACCCAGGGTCTCCCAGAGTCTCCCCCAGGGTCTCCCCAGGGCCTCTCCTCCAGCGTCTTCCTCAGTGCTGCCCTCTCAAAGTCTTTGTGCTCAGCAATAAACAAAAAGCCGCCTTCACTTATACATGTCCTTGATGAAGCAGTGAAAGCATCATTTTTAAATCTCAGTCCTTGACAACACATCCTGTGAATATTCTGTTAACAACACAGGGCACAGCCAGCCTTCTGCTCACAGCAGACGCCGAGCGCCTGGAGCAGGGCCTGAGCTCTGCTTTGGGCTGGGAGCAGAACTCACTGCACTTCTTCCTCATCAAACACTAATTCTGTTTGAAAGAATGACTGACAGAAAAACTGTAGTTACCCAGGCCTCAGTATTGAGCATATATTTTCTCAAAAATGAGCAAAATGATCATGTCACTTTGAGGAAAACACCTGACAGTATTTGGTGCTAATGATGAAATTTGAACTTTCAGACAAAAATTAGGATTTTGGTCAACTGGCATCTGTCACTGTCTCTGACAGCTTCCCAATGTCTAGCAGCCTTTCTAGTGGGATTGCTGGTGATCTGAAAATACGTGATCCTTTGTTACTGAAATATGAAATGTGTCAGCACTTGGAAGATCCACCTTGCCTGAGCCAGTATTTCCTAAAGGCCAGGGCACGATGCTACAAAATCACGCACACGAGCAGAAGCTCCACACAAAGTGTGGACGGACCCGGGGAGCTCAGGGCACAGAGGAGAGGCGGCTCGCGGACGGGGCCAGGTCC